TCACGTGAGATTTTCTCAAAGCACCTCATGGGTACATGCCCTGGCAAGGCTGTAGCAAGAACCTATTTCAAAAAGCCTATTGAAAACCCAGATAAACCAATAGCCCACATTCTGTCTCAGAAGAAACTCTTTCTTCAGCTGCAAGCAGATTTATCAAGTTGTAGCCCTGTTAAGAGAACAGGCAATAAATGTGACGATCGTCGTAGTGTCCCATGGCCTCAGGCCAGGAAACCGGCTTCCTGCATGTGACGCACGCACACACGCGTACATACATGTACCCTGTTCTGTAATGTAAATGCACCTCTGATCAAGCACTCTGAGGTAGAGGATTTCCTGTAGGATTTTTATTTTCTATGGATGTTTTCCCATTTTTTTCCCAAGTTAGATAAGCAAGTTTCTTCTGCTGTGTCAGTTAGCATGCAGCAAGGGGCAACTTGCCAAGTAAAAGCATCTTCTCCATCTCCATTGGTCCTGGGTCTGTTTCCTCAAGAAATAGGGGGATAACTATTTTTAATTCCCCCTCCCCGCCCCCCAACTACCATCTGAGGCAGGATAAATGCAGTCCAAACTAGTTTTCTTTTCAAATTCCAGCCTCACAGGAAGCACACAGACAAATGTAAGTGATTCCATACCTTACATACATAGAGTTTAAAAGCAAATTAGTATCTCCCTACAGCTCTGGGGCTTCCTGACAGTGAAATAGTCCTTAAGCATGTAAAGGTACACTTTCACTACAAGCTAACCTGATTTGCACTGAACAGCTACAGCCTATTAACGATGCAGCTGGGGCCGGCACCCTGTCTGTATCTGGGGTTTCTAGGGACACAACCCAAAAGAACAGCACAATTTATGCCTATTATTCTCTATAAGGGAATACGTGTGGAGGTCACCCGCATTTCTGGCCAAGCCAGAGGAGGAACTGCAGGAGGGCATTGGAAGTCCATACATAAATGACTTATTCTGGTCCACCCCTACGAGCACTACTAGTGCTACTACTGGGCAAGCTGCATGAATGAAAGATCTACCCAGCCCACAGCCAGCTGCTGGCATAGGACGGAAAGTACAGCCAGACTTGTAAGAAAAAGCTTTGTATGTAGATTGAAGGGTAAACAGAAATAACACCTAAGCAAGACTAGAACTGTATTTGCCTTGAAGATGTACTCCTACCTCTTTGCTCTGTACAGATTAATCAGTACTTGGATACATTCTTCCTTCTCAACACAAAAGCTCCGAGAACCGTTCTTGTACCACTGTCGTATAGCCAAATGCCTGAATTTGTAGGCCACATCTTAAGAGAGTCACACGGGGTAGAACTCTCATACAAAATTTAGTGGGAAAATAATTTGGAAACCTTCTATTTATTTTTAGAACTCTTACAATTCATATCATCCAGGTTTACTTTCTTTCCTTCTCCCTAGCTTAGTGAGCCAGTCTTGCTGGTTTTGAGGTGAAAGTCAAGATTTTCAGATATTACAGAACTCCCAGAGTTTCATTTTAAGGGGAAAGAAAGCACTAAATATTGTGATGGTTGTCAAAATGCATGTAAACTGGGACATACAAATAGAAGTTAAATGTATAAAATAATACAAAAGTATCAAATTTTACAGTGTAGCAGGATGGATAAGCAGAACTTTATTAAAAATAGAGCATCCTTAGAGAAAAAAACCCAATCTACTGAAAAACAAAAAAATATCAAAAATTCCCAAACCTCCTGTATAACATCTTAAGTTCTGTTCACCAAGACATGCATTGAATTCTGTAGATTCAAACTACTCAGACAAACTACATAGGCACTGAAATACTGTAGTTCACATAATTCAGAGCATTAGAATGGGTTTGTGTTTTATTGTCTGTTTTATGTTATGTTATTAAATAGAATAGCAGTCTTTACCGTGTAAAAGCTTGAGTACGTATGACATGGTTATCTAGCAGGATGCTTGCTAAACAATGAAGTAAAAAATGAAAGGTTTTTCAGGATAATTTAAAAGTCTATATAGAAGATGATACTTTTCGATACACAAGATACATTAAGCACTTAGTGAATCAATTGTGTTAGCTTTTTGCCACAAAGAACTATTAAATATAAAGTCTTGTGACTGGACTTAGAGCGGGGGCTTCAATTGGTCAACTAAGTGTTACCTCCTCCTGCACTGAACTTTTCCCATCCTCTATACCATTTACAGAGATACTTCACTGTGTGGATAATTAACTTCCACTTTTCAATATATAATTATATGTAATCATGTATTCAATTGACCAAAAGAGCTCCCACTTACATGATCTATGGACTACACTTCTCTTTCCCCATCAACTCTGTTGTTCTTTTGCCAATTTGTCACGCAAATTCTCCCAACTTTTATGGATTTCTGTTTGTTTCTCCAGTTTCAAGAAAAGATTGATCACAAAATAAAGCTTTTACTTTGAAAAGACGGCAAGGAGGTCTATGTTACTCTTCTAGTTTCCAGACCTGAAAGGGAGTGCTGCAAAACCACAGCTGAAATGAAAAAAATAAGGTTGTCTAAATTTTAAGAAGTCATCCAAAAGAGTGGCTTTGTTCTTCCTCTCTGCTTCATTGTGCTTTATTGAAAGTAATCGCAATGCTGGGATACAAATCCAAGTGGTAACCTTTGCAGAAGGGTAAAACATACTTCTTGTCATGTTTTGCTGGATTTGTTTTTAGGTGGATCAGGTTTGTGATCCACTCGTCACAAAACTGGTGCCAGTACACAGGAAGCAGTGGAAGTAAACAGACAGAGCTATGAGAACTGGGAAGACAAATTATCACTTGAAAATTAGTTTTCAGGTAGTTAAGATGGACACTGCTTCCCAATAATTACCTTTTCCTTAGGAGTAAGAAATGGAGCTATGCATGGAGAGCACACAGTGGCAAAACCAGAGACTCGGAATGCAAAACATTACACACTGTGTATAACAACCCTTATTACAAACTACTGTAGCTGTATGGCACCAAAAAAGGTATTTTGTGGCTCAAAGTTTGTCTATTTGTATCTATAGCATAATTTTAAAGCTTGATTTTCATTACAGTTCCAAAATTATTTAATGTTTTCTGACCATTACACCTACTGTTAGGCATCTCCATTTTTCAGGTGCTCAACTTGAGATAAATTGTCCTTAATAACTCCAGCTGAAGTCAGTGCCAATGGGAACTGTGGGCTCTCCACACCCCTGAATGACTTGAGGGACCACACCATCACAAAAAAACCTGGCAAATTATGTACAAGCAAGTAACTATGAAGGCACTTTTGGCAATGTTAACCTTAATTTCTTCGTGCCCCATTTCCTCCTTTCGTAAAAGAAATACAGACATGTGCTTGTAAGACTGGATTGAGGCCCCCTAAAGAAACATACAGTACAACATAAGACATACTGTATTTAACATCAATTTACCAAAACACTGATTTGTAAAAAATAAGTGCAAAATGACACATGCATTATTATTTAATGGCATGATAATGTAATACACACTAGTACGTTGTGGCAGTTTGGGGAATCACTGTACACACAGCTTATGAACGGTGATTATTCTGGAGAATTTACTGCTTATAAAATCACATACCTGTCCAACAGTAGCGGCAGAACATTCAGCAGTCATTAACTAGAAATAATTTTGCTCTAGCAATATGATAAAAGTACTGGGGAAGCTGAAGGAAACTGGAAGCAGTGAAGGAGATAGCAGGCTGAGGGGATTTTTTTGATTGCAGTAGTGGAAGAAATTGTGGGGGTTTTGTTGCAGGGTACCCAGGAAAAAAATAAAAAAAAAAAATAAAAAAAAAGACAACAGAGACTGAGACAAGTGTCTCAGAAAGACGCCCAAAACTTCAGCTGGTGATGATGGCCCAAGAGAAGATGGCTTCTTTTTGCCTTTTGTGTAAATAAATCATGTTTTAGGTGTTATGCTGCAAAACCAGAGTTCCTTGCTGTACTTGTCAGGGGTTGCTATGAGTTTAACGTGCCAAGCAGTGTACTGCTAAGAGTTCAGGAGAGCCTACTGAGGACACTTCAGGAGATCAGTGTTGGTTTTATTGCCTAGAGCTAGGGAAGACAGTGGGCAGAGGGCTTGCACTGTGGTAATGAATCTGAAGAGCTCATAGATGCTCCCTGGAATCTGATTAGGCTCAAGTTTAGAAAAGCACAGCATCAAACGTCTGAATCCCAAAACAGAAGTTTCTGGAGAAAGCTTGGCTGGAGCTGTGACACAGACAGACAGACACACATATATGCAGGGTGGCATTCAGTTTCCTAAATGTTGGTTCCTACAGCCACTTGAGATGCCCCAGGGTTTTGGAGATGTCTGCACAGGGATGGTGGCAAATATGATGCAGAACCTTCTGGGAGAGCAGCCAGGACATCCCAGAGCATCTCAGGTGGCACCAAGCAATTGTGTTTAGCTAACTGAAACCCAGCCCTCATTCCTCCTCTTTTTCAGGAGGAATATGATTCAATCACAGCATTTTATTTCAGACCATTCTTCAAGTCTTGCCAACGTGGGAGTAAAGGGGCAGAGCAGCCTGCATGAAGGCAGTGGTCGCAAAGCTCATCCTTGTTCTTCTGCTGGGCATGGCCGCGTCTGCTTCTTGCCTCTGAACACACTAAACTTCTGCCCCCATAAAGGCAAGGTTTGTTTCATAATCCAAGTCACTGACTATTAGGAGGACAGAGACATTTCCAATATATTTGACAGTACATAATATCGAGCTTAGTGTTTCTTAGTTAAAAAAAGGGCACTGTCATCATTAAAAGAAGATCATATATAGTGTAGAGTAAACAAATAAACTGCATATTTTTGGTGATAGGTTCAGGACAGAAGCTGAACAAGGTTAGGTTTTTCCTTGCCAAGGATCGGACTCTTTTTCTGTATGTCAAATACTGTGCCTAAATAATCCCTGACATCGAACAAGCTCCAAGAGCTTTCCCCATATTACTCTGCAAAGGCATCACAGTGTTTTCTCTTATTTGCCCCCAAAGGGCCACAGGCATACCTGCTGACGTTTCTCTGAATTTGTCACTAGTCTTCTTCTTCCGCCATTTCCAAGGTTTAAAGATTTTACCAATGGTGGAGAGTTTGCCCTTCCTCTTGAAGGGGGGAGTTTGGGATCCTGGAGCTGGTCCATCGGAGTTAGCGATTGAAGCCTTATCCAAACCATCAACTGTATAAAGAAGAAAAGTAAAGGTAACTGAAGGATGGAAAACAAAATGGTAGCCAACAGCTAAACTCCTCTACTATCGGATTGCAATGGGCTGTGCATGGGTCCATGGGTCTGTTCCAGAAGGCAGCCAAAGGACTGGGGCCGTGGCCACAAGCCAGCCCCCTCCTCAGCTAGCCCTGGGCTTCACTGCCGCCCGGCACCTCAGCAGCAGGCCAGAACTTGCTTCTCACGACATGCATCTGGCACGTCTGCACGCTTCTGCGGCTTCTCATTGCTACTAGAGAATTTCTTTCGACACATATTTGGGTGACTTTTTCCCTATCTTTGGTAAAGCTGAATAACTAGCTGTCATCATATAGAAAACAAAACCCTTACAATGTAAAAACATAAACTATTTCTTTTGAGTAAAACGAATCCTGTCTTAAATGAGCTCTAAAGATAACTCTTCTGGCAGTGGAATGGAAATAGGTCTGTTTGATATCCCTGGTAATCAGTCATTCACAGCACAGCCTGGTGTGAGTCAGGCTTCTTGTTAACAAAACGTATTTAACAATAAGCTTTTGGGCTTATGTTAAATTTAACGAAGGATTACTTTTCTGCAAAAACATATTGAGTGATAAGAAAGCCAATATTTATCATCGATAGCCATAACATCGAGTTTCGTGAACCAAATGAAGACGCATTCCACAACATGCCGTAGCATACAGTTAAAATAAATTCCCCCTAAATTTCTGAGAAGTCTGCTATTATCAATTTCTATTTAAGAACTGAGGTTTCTTAGACCCTTCCATTCGTGGTCCTGCAAACACTTCAAATGCGTTTAATTTTATTCACGTGAGCAGCTTCACTGAAGTAAGTGCGCTTCCTTACGTACATAAAATTAATCACAGGCTCAAATGTTTGCGGCATAAGGGCTCCATAATTGCTTTCATTCATCTAAACATTCTAATTATAACCAATTCGGAACAGAGTTGATGCCACTGTCAACAGTAGCAATGATAATCATAGATCATTAAATCAGCAAGTGCTATCCAAGGAAGGAAATATGACTGTCCCCATTTTACAGATGGAAAATATGAAGCACAGAATTGTTAAATGCTTTATTTTATGTTTGCCAAATGGCTTCCTGAATCCTGGTCCTGTGTCCTAGCTGCTAAAAAGATACATATTCAGACACATAACATCATGGTGCAATCTTATTATTCTGTTTCTCAGACAAATGGCATTTAATGAGTCCTATATTTGTCCTAGACTTTAGATTGATCCAGGATGCTAAAAAAAAAAAAAATCTTTTCTGTGAGAAAGCTGATGTAATGCAATCAGAGTCCAAGAAACTTTATTTCCAGTGTCTTGAAATAAAGTACTGGGAAAAAAGATCCATTGTGTAACTTCATTGAAGTCTATGAAGTTAAACGCAGAGATAAATTTGTATGAAAATTATAGCATTTAAATCAATAAATCTGAGTGAGCAATGCCATAAAATGTAATAAATTCTGTACTGTCAGAGAGATGGAACAGAGCGATGGAAAACTTCTCCAAGATAAATTACTGTTATTCAGATGCATCAGAATTTAAAATTTTTGTTTCAGTGTTTTCCTTGGGTACTTTCTGGTCTGTAACATGGAGATAAGATGGAAGAAAGGCACGCAAATGGGCTTTAAATGTAAAAAGCCAAGATTCTGGCAAGGACCTGGATGTGTCTACCCCTTGCACGAGTACAAAACCCCAGCTTCCTCACTTGTGCATCCTTCTGCTCTGCGGAGAGAGAGGCACGGGACAGCAGAAGGACCTCTGCGGGGGTGCCTCACCTGAAATTAGGGATCGCAGTTTTGTTTAGGCTTACAGTCACTGCCTGTGCTGTACAATCCCCTATGGAATACAGAAGCCTCTGCTGGAAACTGTGGATCTAAGGGAGGAATACATTTACTTGGAGAGTAGTTACAAAGATTAAAGGGCTCAATTTATCTTGGCAATTCCAGTTGATCTAAGAAGGGGCAAAGGCCACAGCTTGCGGCTGGGGAGAGTCAGCTTAGACATATGGAAAATACTTCCAGCAGGCAGATGGCACAGCACTGGAACAGGTCTGGGGCAGTTTTGGAGGCTCAGCCAGGTGAGCCAGGGCTGACCTCACCTACTGTCAGTAAGAGTCCTACTAGTAGTAGGACTACAGTGAGGGACTGGACTGAGGGACCTCCCGAGCTCCTGCCCAGTCAAGATTCCCATGGTGGATGGGATGTGGAAAGACATGGTTGCTCTGTGAAATCTGTGCTAGTAAATCCAAAGAATCACAAGCAAAGTGCTGAAGAACAGAGACCAGGATCTGGTGGCTGAAGAGTTTTGTCCTGGGACGGGAGCCAAGCGTTATCTCCCTGGCAGAGGCAGTCCATCAGCTCATTAGAGTGAAAGGCTACCCGCTCCTAGGAGGCAGCAGGACAAAACCCATGTTCTTGTCTCCACCGGCTTAGAAACGCTGGGTTATTGATGTGAAGAGCCTGTACCCTGGTGACAGACAGCCCCATCTTTTTAAGCATAGATCTTTCAAATCCTCCTGGGTCATGGAGTCCAGTCTAGTACAGGCAACCACTTTCACAAAAGCCTCATCTAATTTTTTTTCCTCTGGTGCCTCCCCACAGAGAAACATGGATTTGCATCAGTCCCTGCTCTGCCTTCTGCTGAAAATATTTAAGTCTCAAATAATGACATTCATCCTAGCTAAAGAAATCTGTCTGCTTCAAATGAGCTAGCATATGAAGAAAGGGATCCATTTAGTGGTAAATAATTCTGTTGGGGAAGACTGCAACTTTTGAAAACAGTATTCAACATTACCTCCTTCTAACAATAAAAGATGAGGAGCTGATACATCAAATGAGTTCAACAAGTGCTCATAACTGGGACTTTACTAAACTACTGACCTTGTACCAGTTCCTTCATTTGAAAAAAAGACCCAAATATGTATCTGGAAATGAGAAATAAGCCTGGCCAAACATCATAGATCCATTTCAGAAATAATCTAAGATAAAGTAACTTTTCTAGGAAAAAGGACTTATTTATATTCAAAAGCAATCATAAGGTAGCACATTTTACCAATTAATTAACTGCCTAGGAAAAAAACCAATTTCAGCAATGATGTTTCAGAGCATTTATGGAAAGATCTTTTCAAAAGCTATTACTCCTCATCTTTGAAACACTCAGTAGGAAACTGATGTTTAAGATTTACACTGTTTGCTTTATAGGTCACGTACTACTTAAGAACAAAGCGGTGTATTTTCCACCTCAGAGAGCTTACATATAATTAATAATTATAGATGTTATACATATACACCGCCTTTCCTGAGATGAAAGGAAACATCTTCGCTTTCCAAGATTAGAGGAGCTTGGTCACTTGTGTTATTCTTTTATTTGTACAATGTCTTGAAGTCCTGCCTTTTCCCCACCATCCTCAAAAAGCCAGTGAGTCAATTCATTGTCTTCAACATACATCATTATTAAGTTTGACATTAGGACTTTTGACTATGCTACCTGCATAGTATATGTTATTTGCCCTATGTGTAGATTTTACACCTGAAGGATAAAAAGAGTACTTAAGAAGGGCGAGAAAGTAATTATATGAACCATGCACATTGATATCATGCAAAGAGGAGATCTTGTTGTAGAAGACCAACAACAACGCTAAGTGAGACACTGAGAAGTCAAATCATGCTGGCACAGGCCCTGGGCTAGGTGAAGGATACAAAAAGGATAGCGTCTCCCCGAGCTTGTGGGCAGCCAGCAAAGATCAGATCAGTTTATGGATGACCCTGATGTTCCTACAAACACCCAAAGACGGAAATGCCTGAACGCGTCTTACCCTAGGAAGGCTACTTGCAATAAGCAATGCTGATCTCTGTAGCTGCCTAGGAGACACTTTTCTGCTGAGAACGATCTTCAGAGATGTTGCGTGGCTGAAGCAGGTGTGTGAATTCTTAACAGTTTTCCCGGGGCATGGTACACTTTGGCACTTAGACATTCATGTCAGCACTGATGCATCCTAACACCTTCTTCAGGTAAGAACTTACAACTAAATTTACAAACCCAAAATGCAACAAAAATCTATCTGTCAGATCATTTAAAGCAAGTCTAATATAAATTCCTCTGAAGTAAATAGCTGTGATTCTGCTGGTTTCAGGCCTTTCAATCTGGAATGAAGTAAGACCACTTTGAAAATGCTTTGACTTAAAGAAAATTCATGATCAGAAAAAGAGGGCTACATTTATGCCAGAAGTTGTTCTGTATTTTTACTTCTCTGTATTTTTACTCTTGGCAGTGAAAGTGGAAAGCCAGGAGAAGAACCTAACCTCATGCCTGAATACTAAGAGTAATACAAGATACATGGAGAAAAAAAACCCACACCATGATGTCCTTATGCTATCCTTTTCCTAGTAGAACCATATTTGAATAGGTAACAGATCAAAATCCTTGCTTGTATTTTACTACCAGTAATTTGAGGCACTGTTGATTTAAAAAGGTCAAACCTGACTAATTAAGTAGTTAGTTACAGTAGGAGTATACTCAAAAGATTTTTCTGTAGAAGAATCCTTTACTGAATCTGAAGGGTTTTAAGATTCTTTCTCACGTTACTCTGCGTTCACATTTAGTCCTGACAAGAAAAAGTTTATTAGATAGACTTTCTTATAATCTAGTAGGGAACGTCTTATAAAATTGCTGTTTAACAGTTCTCATCTGAATAGTGTTTTAAGTGGAGTTTTGTGTTGTGGGGCCAACAACAATGCATGATATGGAAAACATTAATCATTTTAATTTAGTCTTTCAGAGACTCCAGGCTGATACAAGTACACTGGAATTAATGCTAATAAGTGAAGTTTAATTAGTTTATCCTTTTCACAAAGATTCTTGAGATCCTAGAGTAAAAAGCGCTTAGGGTGGCATCCAAGAAAACAAATGAGGCAGAATTTAGGTGTATATGTCAAAAGTTGTGCTATTGGGAGCCTGAGAAACTCTGA